AAGGGGGGTGGGGGTGGGGGTGGGGGTCAGTATTTGTATCAACTATATAAGCGTATGTAGAAAAAAAAATTGGTAAAAAAATCAAGATACAGTCGAACCTGTCATGACGGCCACCTGTACAAACGGCCACTTTCCATTTCCTCCCTTGCGTTTTTTCTATATAATTTAACTGTGTAAAAACGGTCACCTGTCCAACGCGGCCGCGACCACCTTATTTTATCAACCCACGGTCAAATGTACCTGTCTCAGACGGCCAGGCGTGGTCACTCATTGCCCGACGCTTTGTCAAAAAATTTTAATCGTCCCCTCATGCTGTGGACGGGCCGTCACAATTCATTCACCTGTCGCTATTGTCAGTCCCTCCAATGAAATTTTACCCAAGTTCACCAATGGCCTGACAATAAATTTTGAACTGCCGGTGAGGGAAGTGTGATCCATCATGACCTATAAGCCCCGCCCACAAACTCATGCACAAATCGTGTGTGAGGTGACTGGTCACTGTTTTGTTTACCGAACAATGGACGTTGACGTGAACTTGTGACAGAGAAGTGTCGCTCGTTCTCGGAGTGGTGGCGACCCGTGTGCTTGTTTTTAACCATGGCACTTGATCTTCATTGCTTTACTTGCATATTTCGTTTATTTTACCCTTGAACAAAATCAACAACAAGAAGAAAGCTAACCAATCCCCCCCAAAAAACAAACAAACAAACAAACAAACAAAAACACACCAAAAAACACCAACAACAACAAACAAACAACAAACCAACAAAACTGCAACGCAAAAACGCTTCTTTCACCGCCCACCCCCGTTTTTTCCAAGAAAACAAAAACCCTTTTGAAATAGTCTTACAGCAATCTAAAGCCTTAAAGATTGGCCACAGTTTGGACCTCAGAAGGGAATGGTTTGCTTTCTTAATTTTGATCAGTCCTGCCTAAGACGGCCACCTGTGTTGTACGGCCACTTTTCTCATCGACAATGGGTGGCCGTTTTACACAGGTTTGACTGTACATTGTAAAGCATGGACTAAACACTCCAAAGCGTATTGAAGTGGGGGAAAAGACTTGTGTTTAATTAATGAAGAACGGCTTTCATTTTACGGAAATACTAATAATTTGATAGTTTGGTGTTGGTTTCATGACTCCAAGGATTGTATCGCCCCTTTTTCCCAAGTGCAGACCCAAAGTGACCTGGAGAGGCACAGTCGAGTCTGAAATGAAGTCCTGGAACCCTTCGTGGAGGACGTTGACCAAGATGGCCCAAAACAGACAGAGCTGGAGATCCTTTGATGCTGCCCTAAACTCCAGATGGCGTAATGGGTAGTAAGTAAATAAGTCAGTAAGTTTTACCGAAGTAGGAGTCGAATCCTCTGTTCCAGGGCAAGTACTCCTCTCTGTAGTACCCCAGGTGCCATTTCCCCACCAGGTGTGTGGCGTAACCGGCTTCCTTCATCTTCTCCACCATTGTGGTTTCGTCTAAGGGAAGACCGTTGGGTTGTTCTGCGTGAATGACGTCATGTTGGAGCCCCGTGCGGATCTTGTCGGGGACGGAATGAGGAGAGGGATAAGTGCCAAGATCATCATCATCGTATACAGCAGAGAGGAAAAAGGTTGAGACTTGGTAGTATTTCCAAAATATTTAAGGACACCTTTAACGTTTCACCCTCTATGGGCTTGATCAGAACATTCAAAATATAAATGACTACACTAGCTGTAGAAACCAAAGTGAGTATGCTTCATCATCATTTTCATAACACTTGTAATAGATATTGAAAATTTAAAGATTACATTATCTTTTTCGATTGTCTTAAACTTCGCCCTTTTTTCTGCACACGTATTCTTTTGTCATCGTTATCTGGGCCATTTGATAAAGATATCACTATCGGTTGTGATACACCCTACGATAAACTGCAAACAGTATTGTATTCAGATTAATTAGATAGCATTTCTTTGAACACTGCGTCTAAAAAGAGGACCACTTTTAAGGGTTGTAACTCAACAATCTTGGCATTAATTTCAGGAAAACTTGGACCAAACAATATTCACAGAAGCAAATGTCAAACTTGTTAATATGAAGAAAATCAATAAGTGTGTTTGAGAACTCGATGCAACAAATCACCACCACCACTACCACCA